GACTTGGTAAATATACCAAACCACGCTTGTGGCAATTGCTTTAGTCCATACAATGACTTTTTCAACTTGCATACCTTATTACTTTGTGTATTTGAGATCACACATCCTTCTTGTAGTTTCATATAAACTTCTTCAAATAGCTCTTTGTGTAAGAAGACATTTTTTTTATATCAAATTGTTGTAAGGGTCAATCAAGGTTTACAATTAGAGATAATAAAACTCGAATTGTGTTAATTTTGGCTACAGGAGCAAACATTTCAATATAATCTAATTCATATGCTTGTGTATACCCCCTTGCCACTAGTCTAGCTTTAAATCTCTCAATTGTACCATCTACATTAAATTTCGTTGTGTACCCATCGACATCTTATTGGTTTCTTTCGAATTAGACAATCCACAAATTCCCACATTTCATTTCTTTGTAAGGATCTCATCTCATTCATAGCATCCTTCCACCTCGAGTCAGCTAAAGCTTCCTACACATTGTTATAGATAATTGACTTATAAATGCGCTATTTGAGTTAGACATATTTTGGTTAGAAATGTAATTGCTCATAGGGTATTTGGTCTTACTAGTGAAGTTAGGATTATAAGTAAGCTTAGGGGTACCTCTAGTGACACTATCTGGTAGGATTCTTCTAACTGTATTTGGTTCTTGTTGGGACGACTAGTGTGGTATATTGTCAATATTAATTGGAAAAATTTCAATCTCGACATATTCAAATCCTCCATGATGTACCTCTTCCTCATTATGTGACTGCTGATTGCCATATTATTACACACTGTCATCTTCTCTTGGTACAATTTAGTAACTTCCTTTCTCCAATCTAACCTCAGTATTAACTTCTTGAGGGACAAGAGTCTAAATTTCATCACAATTCTCTCCTTGAATTTCAAACTCGGGTGAAAAATACATCAATGTCTCATGAAAAATTACATTTATAGTAGTGAACATTCGCTTAGTTTGTGGATGGTAGCACCGGTATCCTTTCTGATGAGCAGCATAGCCAACCTTATTTATGAGATAAGGAAATCACGGCACTCGCATGAGTTTGGATAACTCGGTGACACCAATTACCAATATGTTTCTGTTCTGGCCAAGGGGTGCGCTAGGGTTTCATCCTAGGTCGAACCTCAAAGCCAGAACATTCAAAATTGTGATCTGCCTTCTCAATTCTAGGATTTTGGGTTTTATGGTATGTCGTTCATGGGCCTTTTGGGTCCCGAGAATGAAGGAATTTCCCTAACCGTTCTTATCTTGATGGCGCGGGGTTAAAGGGAACAAGTCTAATCGGGTTCTGACCGACTGGGTCCATGCCGAGGACCCAGTCGGATTAATGTCGAGTAGTCTCCTTAGTCCTTATAGGTGAGAGGAATCGAGTTCGCAGGTCGAGTCGAGACATGACCGACTAGGCCTGTGCTGAGCCTCAGTCGGGTTAATGCCGAGTAGAAGACCATGGTCGCCCTACTGCCGAATGGAGGTGTAGGTCCGATTGCGACCTGGACGACACACTTGCCTTCCAGCCCTGAGCCGAGAAGGCGAGAGGGCTTATGGCCTGATACATTAGTCGGGGATTACCCGAGCGGAAGGTCAAGTCGGATTTTGACCTGGACGGTACAATTTCTTTATGTTAACTCAATTATATATTATGTATCCGTGGATATGGTAATGCTAAGAGACATGTAAAACCAACACATTCAATGAAAATAGTCTAGGTTCAATATATATGTTTCAAATCTCAAGTGTGTGGTTCAGCGGTAGGGGTTGATCCACGCTTAAACAAGGTCAGAGATTCAAATCCTGTTCTGTGTATGTAGTCGCGTTAAATCTTGAGACCAGCTATTTCACCTTTTGAGGTGTCTCCAAGGAGATTAGTAACTGTTATTAGCGGTGGATACTCCATGGAGGTAAAAAAAAAATTCTATATATGTTTCTGATTCAATTATAGTCCTGTTCTTTCTCCATCTTTCGTCTATTTTTATTCTTTTATTTATTTTTTACTTTTTTGTTCCATTCATTTTCATCTATATTGCCCTAGCGTATTGTCTCTTTTGGATCTTTGGGTTTTATGGGCTTTGAAATTCAGAACTTCTGACACTTTCTCGGGTTGATCGATTCTTCCAAACAGATAAAAATAAACTTGGTGGCATTTTTAATTTTGTTAATTAACAATTTCATTGGGATAGAATAACCCTCTTCTCTCTTTCAATTTATAGGAATAATTAACTTACTTGGACTCAAAGTCCAACATCAATCCAAGTTGCAGGAGTTGATATCAAACTTAATTACTGACATAAAAATTTCTAAAATATATTTATAAACAATAAGCGTGTGTTTGGATTCGCGTATTGAGTTCTGTTTTCGAATAGAATCACGTCAATTTGATGAGAAGCAAGTAATATTTGCTTCTGATTTTCACGTTTTTTACGCGATTCAGATGCTGTTGACGCGGAATCAAACACACAGTAAATCACATCTTAGCCTAAAGTAAAATATCTTGTTATTACAATATTAAGAAAACTTTAATGGTTAAAATTTTGGTGTGAAAAGAAAATTGTGTGTATTGTGATGAGAAAATAAAAGCAGATGTTAAAAACAAATGAAAAATAGTTGAAATGTGAGATGAGGCATTGCAATTTACATGGGAATTGGAGATATTGGAGAGAAAATAGGAAACGAGGAGTTTGACTAAATGAATGGACCTCGAAAGGCTAAGGAATCTCTTTGTCTCACACCAACGCCAACTGCTCTCAGTTTCAGACACCACCACGCACACTCCACTACTTCTACACAAACATTTTTATTTCTTATCATAATTTTACAAATTACTTTATTTATTTATTATTAATATTAATAAATTCATAAATATTGATATTTATAAATATTATGCTTTATCTCCAACTGATCACCGAAACGTGGGAGGAAAAATTTGAAAATGATAAAATTTAGTCATTTAATATATAAAATAAGTGGGTGAATCATGAATATTATTTGATTTGTTTGGTTAGAATGATACAGATAGCATACAAGTTGGCGTTAATTATAGAATGCTTGAGATATTTATAAAAACAAAATGCCGCGTTAATTGGTCAAAGAAAGAGAGATAAAAAAGTAGGAAAAAGTTTGTCGTTTTGGGTTGACGTGTTTTGCATATTCTCGAATCTAGAACTTAGATTGATTCCTAACTAAGAAAGTAGGGGACTATAGTCTATAGCATCACATATTTATTTCAAAATGCTTGAAAATAAAATTTTGAAAAGTATATAAACTTTTACAGCTTTATCTAATTTATACGATACGTTTATTGAAATTTATAGTAATCATTTAAAAATCATGATAAAAGCAATTTTTTATTTGACAAGAGTCTAAACCAATTTACGATCGATATGATTTATATTAAAAGAAATTTATTTTAATTTTTTTTCTAAATTAATCTATTTTGTAAAATTAACTCGATTATCTAATATATTTTATAAAGTGAATTATTTTAATTTAATTTTTAGAAACAATCGATCCATATATAAATACAAAATGAATAGTTGTATCACTGAAAATTTTTTGATTCATATTTAAAAAAAAATCAAACCAATTCTTTTTATATAAAAAATGGATCAATTGAATTTGATTTGATTAAAAATCTAATCCATAAATAGTCTTACGTGTATTTATTAAACTCAATAAAAATATATTTTCTTATTTTTAAAATAATATAAATAAATATAATTTTTTATTAAATTTTTTTGGATTAATAAAACATTAGCTAGTTTGTTTAGATTAATTTTTTTAGTTAAAATAAAATGGAAACAAATCAGTGGAATCAGGCATTTAGTTGAATTAGTTGCGTGAATTCTAAGTATTGTTCATGTTTAGATTAATTTTTTTAGTTGAATAACAGCGTGTTTCCTCTCATGTTTTAAACGTGAAAAATTACGTAGCTTCACGGTGATTTTTCACGTTTAAAATGTGAAAACAAACACGAACTAAATGTAATAATGGATAATGTGAAAAAATATACAGAAAAGGGTTAAAGGATCAGGTGACCACTTATTTCTGTCTCTTTTCTCCTTTTTAAGATTTTCAATATAAGTAGTATAATTCTAATCTAGAACAGGAACGAATTGTTGTAATCGGATTGCAAAACGTGTTCGTGCTTTGAATCCAATCCAATTTCATTCTCTTTTTACAATTATATTATTAATGTAAAAAAATTTTGTCGTAAAATTTGAACTAATTATTTGTTAATAGGGTTTTTACTTCAAATCATATTTTTATATTCTATTTACACGACTCGTATGAAATCTTGTTTAAGAAACTAAATTCCGTTTTATTCGAACCAATCTGATTTGGTTAATTAAAAATGGTTTAGAAGAGATTGAATAATTTTTTAAGCTTTTATTTCTAAACATGTAGATAATATTACAAAATATAAATGTATACAGTAATTGGAACAAACACTATTTTAAGATATCAACTATCATATCTAAATTATAAATATTAGTAGTTAAATATTTTATTTAAAAATATTGAAATAAAATCAATAAACATCCTAATATAATGCAATTGAGATAATGAAAATTATATAAAAAAATAACAGTACAACAATTTCATAAATTATTATTTATACAAACATAATTGTTTGATGGTAACTTTTAAATTAAACTTAAAAATTCAATCCAAACTAAAAAAATTAATCATTGTTTGGTTTATTTATTTCAGTTCCGACAATATATACATTAGATTAAATTGGTTTATTACATAAATGGATATCCACCCCACAAACTTAAATTTTATTTAATATAATGGCAAACATGTAATTATAAACAGTATACAAATTAGTTTCTTTAAGGACAATAAAAAGCATAGTTGATAATATAAGTATTATCCCCACAAATTTATATAAACGAATGTTGTGTCAGTACATAATTGTTTTTTGCGTAAGTGAGGAAGAAAATGAGAAGAGGAAGCAAATAAGGCAGAAGCCCATAATGAAGCTGAATTATTACAAAGGATTTAAAAAGACATCCTTCGGATTTAGATTCAAGGCTTGCATTGCCATACAAAGAGAGCTAGATTTTATTTCTTGTATTCTGGTATTCTGTGACGACTCACGAGTACGTAGTATACAGCTACGTACGCAAACAAGTAGCAAAATACAAAACAAGACATATATTTATTAAATCAATCCGTATATGGACCCCTGTTGGTCGTACTCTGCGTGTGATGAAAAGATTCCCTCGACCCGTATATGGATCCGATCCCTTGTATGGGAATTTCTTTTATGCTTCACACTTATCTTTGTTTCTTTCTTCAGTTTGGGCAAAAACAGGATTATTATTTATTCTGTATGTGTAAAAAGAGTAGGAAATGCATGTGCATGTGCATGTGCATGTACATTCTTCAATATGTCCACTCTTGAGGCAGAATCGTATCATGCTGGTTACTTGCCACCACTTTCTGTGACTGGCGCTTCTGAAGTGAATACATGCCATCCCTGTTACTCACTAGAACATCTGCAAATTGTAATCATATATTGTTATAATTTAAGATCCTCATAAATATACAACTAAATGATATGATCCAACATTATATTCACAGTCAATAAGCGACACATCTTGACCACCAGTTGGTAATAAAACTAAATTTAAATATTTCAAGAAGGTCTTAAATTAGTTGAAAATATGATTGAGAGGGAAAATGTTGCTGACAGTGGACAACTAGATTCTTAATTAAAAATTAAATATCAACGAAATCAATAAATATTTCAAACTAATTAATAACATGGTTAATTTTTTCCACACATTCAAGACTTCATAAAGACTTGCCCATCAAAGAGTTTATCACTAATTATTTCTTGGTCTACTTTTTTTTTTTAATCATGTTTTCGGTATAAAATATTTATTAATTTAAAATCAGTCTTATGAGCAGATATTAATAAAACTGAATTTTTTTAATTAAAAATGCATGAAAACATAATTGTATTTGATTGAAAACTATTTTTTTTTGTTTCGCTTCATAAACATATGAAAAGGCAAAAGGAAAATTAATAATATTAATAGCATGTAAGAAAATTAAAAAAGAAATGAAAATATTGGTAATTATTGTGGGTTAGAAGAAAGGAAGCAATAAATGTTGGGCATTATTGAAATGAAAGTTGTTGAAAAAGGAGTACCATGGAGAGGAGGGAAGCCAGCAGATTTGGGCCCAGACGTGGCGGCCATTTGGTCGAAGTGGAGTTGCAAAGCCTGGACGACTCTCGCAGGTATAAGAACACTGGCGCAACCTTTCCCTGACATCACACATTTCTACATAATCAAAATCATTTTCGCTGTAATAAGACATCCAACCACTCCATTTTCTGAGGCAATCAAGTTTTTGCAAATTAATGCCAATTAAAACTTTCAAAATTAAAATATCTGATTTAAAAGATTTAAATACTTAAATAAAAATTAGAGTAAAAGTAACTAAGAAACCTCACACCATTTTAGTTTCTTCTTCTCTTAGTTTATTTTAAGAGATGCATTATTTTCAATTTTTCATTAGTCAAAGAAAGAGTAAATATAAGAAATACGGGTTTTCAAATCTGGTCACCAACTCTTCTGATTGTTTTTTTTTAGTACATACTCGACATAAATGTAAAGTACAGTCGCGGCATGTCATTAATGCCTTATACAATAGTATCGAGAGTTTGTTAGCTTTTCCAAATTCCAAATTCAGTTTACGAAAGTCATTTTTAGTGGTATAAATTAATCTTAAGAAAAACAAAATATAAATTTTTAAAATTTCAAAATTTTATTTTAAATATTTTCTATTTATTGATCCATTTGTTTAATTTTGTTATAAAAATGTTTTCTTAAATAAAATAAGCACTTTTTTTACTTTTGAAATATTTATTTAGATTTATTTATTTTTTTAAAACAAACAGCTTTTTAAAGAATAATCCCTATCTACTTTTGATTTTTTTAAAACACTTTTTTTAAGTTCATATAAAAAAAACCCATTTTCTTTTTAACAAAAATCATTCTTCTTTGTATCCTTTTCTCGTTTCTTTCTCTTGGACGAAACACAATCTTGAACTTTGACGGCTGAAATTGGATTTTTATTTATTTTTTTAATTTAAAAAAGTGTATTATCTTATCTTTGGCAAAAGTAAAAAATGACAGATCCGGAAGGATGGAGCTCATCCTGCATGTGATAATTGATTAGAGAAGATTCCAATTCAAACTCCATAAAAAAGAATATTAGTCAGCACTCAACTAAACTAAAGGGAAATTTTTAGTCACCGAAAAAAAAAAGAATTTAATTATTATTTAATTATATTATTATTATTATTATTATTATTGTAGGATGGTGGAGACAGTGTGAGAGTGGTGAAATCTGGGAAGGGAGGGAAAAGAAAAGAAAAGAAAAGAAAAGAAGCAGGGTAGCGAATAGATGATATAGTACGTTATTAGTATTACCTTGTTTGTTGGTTGATTCGGATGGGGAAGCAGCTCCACCACCACGCGGCAAGAAAACGCCGGTCCCACCTCGAGAGGCGGGCCCATCAAGAAAGAGGGCCCGCATGCCCACACCGGCTGGCTGTTGGGTCTGTGGGCCGGGCCGTGGAGGACGAGGCGTCCGTCCGTTTCCTTTCTTGGGCTTCTGCTTCCGACGTGGAGCGCCTTTCGCCTGGGGAGACGCAGCCCCCTGCTCCTGCTTCAGCCCAGACAACTATCACGTACAGTAATTAATTAAAGCTAAGTCTAACAATAATTATTATTATGTGAGTGTAATTAGTTATATATATATATATATATATATATATATATATATATATAT